TCATCATTTCAAAACTGAAATAATATGCATAAAGAGAGGAGTGTTGTGTAGATTCAGTGAGTTCAGATTTTGTGGACAAAGTGAACTCTGCAAAGAGCCGAGGAGATACATAAAAAAGGATTTATTTTAGTTTTTTTCCTGCTTTCATAACATGGAAAAGGTGAATAATGATGTTTACCTGCCATTTTTACTCCTTATATAAACTGTGTGACTATGCAATTATCCCAACTTCTCTTGGGAGGCAAAACACTTGGTCAGAGTCGGGACGAATACAGGGTTCACAATGCATTATGGGAGTCTTTGGAAGGAGTGAATCAGGTCAGTCTCAGCACCTTTGTGCACCTGCTCCATTTGGACATTGCGTCAAAGGTTTATCACACTGCTTTGAGCCTGGCACTAACACTCCGCTCCAATCTGCTGCCCGCAGACCTGCGCTGCTTATCCAATCCTGCACGGTGCCCTAAACCCATAACCCACATTGAAATATCATATTAAATTATAAAACAATACCTGAGAAGAATTACATAGAGGCATAATCCAAAAAGTGCATGATTCAAAAAGGATTAGCGGGTCGGTGAGCAGGGGGGGGGGGGGGAGAATGTGGCCCCACAGTTTGCGGGATTTGTACTTTGCTCACAGGCTGAGAGACGTCTGCCTCGGGCTGATTGTGAATCGGGGGCATCCCGTTCAGATTTACGTGCCCCTGCGAGTGATTTGGGATTCACTTTCTTAACAGTCGCCGTCCAGATATGTCCTTGTTGTGCAGTGTGTGTCCGTCCGTGAAGTCAAGACTCAGTGCTTTCAGCTGGATGCATTTTTGATAGGAAATGGCTATTTTTTGCAGCTCAGAGCTAGAATAAGCACTTCCTCTCATTTGAATATGTGTACTGTTTTATGAATGTTGAGGAAAAATATGGGAACATGTAGTGGGACAGTTATTTTGGGGTTTAGCAGCAGGCGCAGGGGTCATTTCCTGTTGCTAACGGTAACAATGATGAATGGTCTGCCACGAGGGGCCGGTTGGTGACAAAATTAGCTTTTATCAATAATATATTCCCAAATTGTCCTCACAGGAAATGCTGACAGTAATATGGCTTACTGTAACCGATGGTGGGAATTGAATCCTATTGGCTTATTCATGGTGTCATTAGCATACAAAGATGAATGAGTGGCCATGATTAGATGCTGCACGCCACTGAGTCCAGTCAGGTTTCAGCTACGATCGAGAAATGAGCTCTGTGGAAGCGCGTTCAATGATTTGATGAGTGTACAGGATCACATAGTGTGACCCGTAGAGAGTTGTCATATCTGGTCACTGAAAACATAAACAGGAACACCATGGATTTAAATGGCCACTTATCTCAAATCAAACAAGATTACATTAGGAGATTTACATTCTTCCTAGTTACGTTTTGGGAATACATAATTCATTGTGTCACAGGGGCACTATTTGATTTGAACAGGGACATTGGATTGAATGTTGAGGTGATAGACTGTGAGATCTTCACTATAGTCACCATTTATGTTACCACTTGTGGTCGGTTTTAAATATTTATATTTGCACTATGCTGCTGAGTGACTTTCACTGTGTGTTTGCTTTTAATTGTATTTTAAATATTGGACTCCACAGTTTGTTTAAGCATCTTAACTGAATATTGCCTGAACTCTTTTTCAGCGTGTTTTAACCGGTTTGTTTTCCGGATTTACTTTTCATTGTAGCAGTTTTAAAATGCTGCCTACAAGCATTTAAAAGTAATTTCTAAGTGTCAAGTAATTATCTTCCTCAGTAGGCCAACACATGTCTATTTAAACGGAAGAAAAGACAACTCAGGAAGTAGATCAAGAAAAGTGGGATCATGAACAACACCAACTGAAATGCAACCAGTTCTTTGGTGCATGGATGGCTGAAACAAAAACTGAACTTTTGGGCATAATGCTTAGCCTCACACAATAAATACAACCTGGGTGTTACAACAATCCGTGTATCTTCAGACCATTTGTTTTTCTTTATTAAAAAAGTAAACGGAAGAGGCGTTTTTGCTTTTACCTTACTAAATAGTCTAATGGTCATTGGAGCGAGGTGCGGGGCGAAACTCACGGAAGTGATTTCAAAACAAAAGCACTCGTATGCTAAAAAATACACTTTCATTGAAGCACTACAGTATCCGGTTGAAGGAACGATGATAATATTATAAACAAGGTGAATTTAGCGATCACAACGAAAAAGCAAAAACGCCTCTCAGACGCTCTTCTGTTTACTTTTTTAATAAAGAAAAACAAATGGTCCTCGGGCATAAAGGTTTATACAAATCAACAGTGGAAATTGGAATAGCTGCACAACTACAATGTCTATGAGTGAAAACGTAAGTAATGTGCCTAATTAATATGTTCCGTCTTACTCAGATTATGTTTAACACATCTAAAGGAACACATTGTATTCAACACACTCCTCATGGCTTCCATAGTCCAAGAGTTGAAACACACGTTGTAAAGACAACTGCACACTGTATAGTAAGTGACCCCAGTCCACTGCTGACTCTCACTCACCAGCTCTGCTTTCCTGAAATCAGTTAGATTAAGCACATTGTCTATTGATTGTCTCCTAAATTGACGTGTGATACAAGACGAATAATCCCATTTCAAGTTTCAACACTTGTTTCTAATGGTTTCTAAACCATTTTAGGCAACAATGGATCACAATTAGTTTAGCATTTAGCAGCCGAGAGTGGCCATGCATGCATTAGCGTGATTCTGGGCTTAATAGAGGCTGCTTTGCTGCATTTGACATTTCCTTTCTCTGCACACTTTCTTTTGTGCAGTCCACACACATTCTTTTCAGGCATATCTAGCATGAGATGTTCAGCCACTGTACGTGCACATTAAGCTAGCTGGTGGAATTTAATTTGAATAAAGAGCGATGGAATGTATTTATGTCTCGCCCTGACAAAAAAAAGATGTTCTAGGGCAACAACGAGACTGAAAGGCCCACCTCATAGACCTTTCACATGTAGCCAGTTAAAGACCTGTTTTGACAGCAAGGATCTGACCCGGCTTTTAGTCCGTTTGACTGCTTGACTTTTGAAGAAACACTGTAGCCTATATGTGTTTCAAACCGTAGAATGCTGTGATACATCTCTCAGCCCTGACATCTGAAGGTCTGGGTCCTAAAGAATCTTGAAAGCTATTTCTGCTGGGCCTCGCACGGCTTAGTACGGTATGGTTAGGCCTTGGTAGGCCAGGCTCACTTTATGCTGCGTTTCCATTACAGTTTAGTAGCTGGGGCTAACTATAGTAATGCACTAACGCAATGTAGGCGGAGCAACGCTGCGTAAAACTGCCGTGACGTCATCTTCAATGCGAACCACAAAACCAAACATCAGCCGTTAGCTGTTAGCACTCAGAGCTCACAGCTCCTCATATCTGTTCAGAAACTAGTCAAAAGTTAAACAAGTACAAACCACAGACTGTCTGTGTCATGGCGAATACAGTCGTTGGTTTATTTATGTCTGTAGGCCGTTGTTGTGAGTGTGGACAGTTGGAGCATATACAACGTTAGCTTAGCCTGATCGATCCGAAAACACACATTTTAAAAGGTTTTTCGCCTGCCGTCTGTCTGCAGACTTGTCAAAGCATTGATTCATGGTTTTTACTAACCGGTATCAGTATGTTGTTACTTGGGCATCATTTTGAAACGTGTATTACAATTAAATCACGGTAAAATATGTTCATGTTGTAGTTGTAGCCCCCTTGCCAGCGATTCTCTCAGACCATTCAGCAGTCGAGAGTGTTTACGTCACTAGTTTAGCATATTCAGCCCGGTTGTTGGCCCGTAAGAACCTCGATTTTGGAGGGCCTGAAAAAGGTGAAAAAGTAGCCCTGGGCCGGAACTACCCCTAGTGGAAAAGCAAAAAAAAGCGGTCCGGGTTTGGCACGGCCCGCTACCCAGCTACGTGCTGCAGTGGAAAAGCACCATTAGTGTTATGTCACATAGGACTAATGTATAATTAAGAAGATTTTTTTCTTTGTTTTGGATGTGTGCCCTTTTTCTTGCTAGTCATCATCAATTTAATCAAAGTAGACATTTGAAGTTAAAAATGTGACCCAGCCATTATTTACTTTATACAAACGGGCAGACAATGTGCTTGATTTGGAGACACTATAGCTCTTGATGAGTTAAAAAACGAAAGACATTAAGAAAATGGCATTTAAAATCAGTCATTAAAAAGAAAAGATAATAAAATAAACATTAAAAGAAAAAATACATGGATAAAAGTTACAGTGCAGTTTAAGATGTGAATAGTTCAATTAAAAGCAGCGGCAAAAAGAAAAGTCTTTAGTCTGGATTTAAAAGTAGTCAGAGTTGCAGCGGACCTGCAGGTTTCTGGGAGTTAGTTCCAGATATTTGGAGCATAATAACTGAATGGTGCTTTTCCATAAAGGTTAATTCAACACATTTTCCTTTGACCTTTGGAATGAGACAACGCTACACTAAATAAATAAAATATATAAATAATGTGTGTTCAGAAATAAAGATTTTTCAATAAAATAGATATGCATAAATGTATGATTTAGAAGTAAAGGCATTATTGGTAACACATCTTGTGTTGCAAATAAGGCTAAAAACAGTTCAATCGTTTGTGTAAATGTCATCAAGGAAATGCTTATCATATTTTATTGACAGATTACAAAAGAAATGTAGATACATTATTAAATTATATATTTGTATTGAAGTATTTTCTTTAACATTGCCATTGACTTATGTTATCATTATACAAGTTATTTATTGTTATGATGGTATTGTTGTTTGTTTTTTTATACTCATTTTGCTATAAAGTTGTTACTGGCCATTCTAACTTCAATAAAACACAACATCCTTATTTTTAAAATCAATATCAGTATTTTCAAACATTAGCTGTTCAAAAATAATTGTAACGTTGACACATGATCAGGATTCCCTATGCTAATAAGTACATATTTTCAATTAGGACTCATGACACACGTAACAGTCAAACCATTTATTAGTATAGTTCCCATTTATTTAATAATGAACTTAGCTGATAAACAATTATCTTTGAAACACAGTTGTCAGTTCACCAAACTCCAATCGCACTCCCTTCAAAATCCAAGCCCTCTAATTGTACACTGACTGTAAAGTAGTCTAGAGTCAGTGAACCAATGACTGATCAGTGACCAGATACCATTTTTTATTTGATTCATGAGTGACAAATTATTAACAAGGTGGATATCAAACTTTAAACGTTCATTAAAAAGGGTTATCCTTGATTGTAACTGATAAAAACGTCACGGTCACAACTCAAGTAAAGCATGGCATGAAAATAAAATGCTTTGTTGTACGTGTACTGTAATGGAATTTTGCTGTAGAATTACAACTTTGGATAAAGTCAGTTGTTTCTGGCAACACATGATAGTGTGTGCTAGTTTTGAAACCAAAATAATCAGCAAGTTTAGTTTGTTATTAAAACCTGTAAAACACCTTCTGCCTGCCTGCAGCTGCTCCAAGTCAATATATCTGTTTAAACCTCATTTGAATTCAGCATTTTGATCAGATTCCCCACAATATGCATGATTACATTTAATAGAATATCAGGTGTCTGCAGCATGGCATTGCATTTATTCAACAATTTGTAAAACCTGCCTGCCTCACTTGGCTTTGCAGAGCTACACCCTACTATTAACTATGCATTTGTCAGGAGACTTTAAGTATTTGGTGATGCTCAAATATAGTTTTAAATGTTTTTTTCCAGACTGAAAATAATCAATGAAAATTAGAGATTCAATGATTTGCTTTTTTTGATTGGTCTGTAATAATATAATAGTAAGAACAGTATTTGAAAAAGTAAATCAACAATGTTAGGTTTTGACTTGTTGGGATGTTAACCCATTTATTTCCTTATTTATTAGGACCATGATTAATGGAGACATTACAGGTTAGTTACAACAATCATAATTATCTCCATTTAGTGGTAAATATGGGTAAAAATGTTGTAAACAGAAGAGACAATAATGTCATTTTTCCATGATCAGTTATAGTTTTAGATGTGGATTCACCTCACTGGTCAACATAGCTCCACTTATTCAATAACTCAGGTTATTAGGAGCAGGTTTGGGAATTAGTGACATATATTAATAAAGGACTGTGGCCTTTGAGTGTGTTGCAGCCTGGTGATTGAACTGTAACACAGGATGTGATGCTGCCCTATGACTGAGCTCCACTGCTCCAGTCAGGGATGGAGAAGGTCTTGGACTGTCTTTTCTGCTCTCCTATGATGTAGTCCACGTGGATGCATATATGTCTGGCACTTTCCTCAGAGGGGAACATGCTTATCTCCCCGGTGACCACCGTGTCCTGCACCACATCCACCGGGGCATCCAGGTACAGCACCGCTTGCTTCCAGTGCGTCTCCGGTTTGAACGGGGACGTGGAGAGCACCAGCGGCTGTGGCTTGTCCGGGCATGGGAAAGTGACCGTGAAGAAAACACAGAAAGCGTTCACTGCAGCCGAGCCGAAAGACTCGAAGTTAAACTTCCCCTTGACGGAGCGCAGCTCCTCCACGGTCACCGTGTGTAAATCGAGCTCGGCGAAGCGGGCCGGGTGGGAGAGCACGTCCTCCCCGTGAACCGAGTTCACAGTGATGTCCGAGTTCATGATACACCCCCTGGCAAAGTCGGACATGCAGGACATGTCGACACCGTACTGGTCTTTGACCGTGTACCAGAATTGTAGGCGGTCCTCCACCACCGGGTCGCTGACGGGGGCGATGTAGAGCTCGGCTTTGTGGGGCAGGATGATGCCGCCCGGCTTGAGCCACTTGTCGCGAGCGTAGAGGACCGAGTTTAGCATGGATTCGTGCAGGAGGGCATACCCCATCCACTCGCTCACTATCACCTCCACCTTCTCCGGTAGGTCCACCGTCTCCACTGTGCCTCGAATCACTTCAATTTTGTCCTCCATGTTGTTCTGTTTCACGATGTTCGCAGCCTGTTCGGCTATAGAACAAGCTTCAACGGCGTAGACTTTCCTAGCACCGGCTTGAACACAGAACATGCTTAAAACGCCGGTTCCTGCACCCACGTCCAGCACAACTTTCCCCCGTATGGACTCACTGTTGTTAAGTATCGCCATTCGGTACGTGTTAGTCCGGACGTGGTCCGCAATCATTTCCTCGTGGATAGTCACATCGGTATAGCTGTCAAAATAAAGTCTGTCCTGCCGGGTTTTATCCAATTTTCGTTTCTTTACCACATGAGACATCTTCTCGGCTCTTGTGCAGCAACCTCAGTGTGTTTTGTTTCAATACTTCCGCATTGGGAAATCTGGAACTTGTAGTTTCCTGCCGCCCATAACAGCAGAGACACATTTAAAAAAAAGACTACAAATCCCAAATCCAAACAATAGTGACGCAGTGGTCGGCATTCACCGTGAGGGGGGAGATGGGCTTCTACTTGGTATAATAGTGAGTAGTTAGTAGTAGTGAGTAGTAGAATATAATTATTATATATACTCACTATAAATAAATAACTCACGTAATTATTTATAATGGGAAAATATATTACAGTGGCTATGCAAACTATTTGCACTAATTACACTTTTCAGATGGGTGCTTCTTCCTCAGAGGAGCAGACAGATGGAAGTAATGGTAGAATAACCATAGTTATCTTGCTTATACTCACCTGAGAATTAATTTACCTCTTCTTTTATTTATTATTTTCAAATGTATACTTTGATACTTTATATTTTTACTAAAAAAAAAAGTGTTTACGTTTTCCTTCTCCCTGTTTAATGTCAGGGTAGTTCAGGAGCTATAGGCATTTTATTTGTGTATGTATGGCCTACAAGTAAAATCATAAAGCAGTCGTTCACATACCTTGTTGTTTATAATGCTGAGAAACGACTTAAGTAGAAGTGTTTTGTGCAGAAAAATGGAGCCACCTCCTCTTCATCCCACGCATTCTGAAAAAGAAGAGTTGTAACCTCTTTCATTTGGGCTTGTCAACACTCAAAATGATTTCATGTTCATGGTACAACTTTAAGAATTTGTTCTGTGCACCACATGACACTTTATCAGATTATTTATTTGTTATCTTCTTGTCATGTTGCCTTTCCATTCCTGAGTACATCTGTGATATATAAGTCAATACTTTTTCTGCAGCATTTAACTCTATAATGAATATAGGGTCCACTCATCTGTGGTACATCTCCTCGAAAGTTTCTCCTAACAAGCTGCACAACACAGCATGGCCATTACCGTTCGGAGCTTTCCCCAAAGTTATGGCAGGCAGAACACAGAGCTTGTGGCTCAGCTCTCCACTCTTCTAGACGGTCCTATGGGACCCTCTGCACTCTGTTTCAGAGATCTTTGGCAGAAGATACCGGACAAATGAGCAGGAGCTGTATCCCATTTCAAAAAGATGAACAAAAAAAAGAGAAAGAAGGAAGCAGGACTTTTAGAGGGGAAATACAGCAAGGTGCTCGATATTTTTGTTCTTTTAAAGCAAGAAGACAGCACAGTGTGATGCAGGAAATGTGAAAAAAATAGCATTAAGAGGAAAAGTTGGAAGCAAATGTGTGTGTGGGTAGGTGTAAATATGTGCATGTATTCATATTAGCATACTTCTAAATTTGGATCCAATGCTGCCTTTCAAGCACCGGAACTCCTGGGAAATATGTGCATTTAATAATTCAGTCTTTTCAAAATGATATAGAGAATAAAGCAGGGAAGTGATTCTGCATGAACTGATTTGTTTCAGCTTGAGTAACCGAAACAGCAATCATCAAAAGCAAATGAGCCATACCTTTGTAGTCGACACTGACCCGATACTCAAAGCTCCACCATCCCATCTGAATATAATTGATTTATGTTAAACTAGAAACACAATACCACCAAACATTATCTAAAGAAGTCGTTTAATCCTAGAGTGAGCCAAATATCAAAAGCTGAACACCCACAACCAAATGGTCAAAAGCTAAATTGGACTAAGTGCAAAGGAGGAATGGAAATGCACAATAGCATAGATTACTGAGGCGTGAAATACAGACAGTGGATTGTGAGTGTTTGCATTTGGCAAAATATGTTTTATTTAGCCAGTAGACATGCAGACAGACAAGCAGCTGTTGGCCATGTTATCCTCTCCTGCTCTGAAGCTTCAGGTAGAACCGCTGCCAGGCCCAGACTCAGCCAACACCCCCCACACTCCCTGTGAGATGCCTGGCACGGGTTAGCCTTATCCTTAAAGTAAGTAAATGTTAGTGCATCTGTTTTCATGCAGAGAAAAGTCTGCTGTCCAACGAGTTGCAACACGTGCATCTCAGCTGGGTTACAATAACCTGGTATGCTCATACTCTGATTGTGAGGAAGATGGTGAAGGTGAATTTGGAACAGTAATTAGCAAGAGTTTATTTTTGGTGCAAAGTGCCCAGTTTAGGTGGGATTCTGAGTAACATTGTCATGTATGGACAGTACCAGCACAAGTATGGTAAGGTGCAGGGGCCTCATTTATAAACGGTGCGTACGCTCAAAAGATGGCGTACGCCAGTTTCTACGCAATGTTTGCGATTTATAAAAAACAAACTTGACGGGAAAACGTGCGGTCCTCCACGCAAACTCTGACCCATGCGTACGCACTAAGCACAACAACGGGAGAGACGAGAAACTGCGACACCGTTGGCAGAAGGAAGAATGGAGATAAATATGTGGAAATAATACCATAAATAAAACGTTACCTCTCATTTATCATATATGAAGAATTCATTTTCACAAATTGATTAAAGCCAATCTTAAAATGATTAAACAAACGCTTGTTTGAGACTCCTCAGTGCACACAAGAACATAACTTGGAGAAATAAACAATACGGAAATGTTATTGATCACCCCTCGATTATGTTCTCTTAAGAAATGTATTCTCATAAATGATGCGGTAAACAGAAGGATAGAATGACTTTAAACTGACGCCGTTTTGCATTTCTATAGGTTGTGTAGATACGAGGATGGTTTTATATAGGCCTACTATCATGTTTAATTATGTTTTATGCCGTTCGCCAATAGCCTACTATGGAAACTAAGAACACCATATGTGGTCAATTGTACAGCTAATATAACACAACACATTAGTTGTATTTCCTTTAACTGGTGGATTATGGATATATAGTTGCTGATCGACAGCTGGAACACAAACCACCAAATACAAACAAATAATTCAGATCCAGTCGTCATGACTCCACTCCGGAGGGATTCCTCAATCATTTCTTACAGTTTCTCATCAAGGGGTGTCTCCTGTCCCCGGTACAAACACACTGCCTGAGGAAAGTTATGTGTATTTTGTTTGTCATTAACCTTTTTCGGACCACTTATTTATTTATTTTGGTGACGATCCGACCTCCATGCTGCTACTCTGGTTCAAACGGCATCCACCAAACAATATGATTTATCTCGACCTCCCCAAAATCTGACACGGTGTGAGATGTCTTTTTTAGCTGTTCTGTCATCATTTCCTGCGATCTTCTTCATGCAGTCAGTCAAAATGAATGAATGGGCGTTTCTTTGACTATTTATAGGCAAATATGGGCGTTACGTGAAGCCCGCAAAAGCTGCGCCGCATTTCGAGTTGATTGTGATTTATAAAGGGAAACCGGCGTAGGATGTGCCGTACGCAAGTCCTGCGCCGGTACGCAGTCTTTTATGAATCGGAAAATGTCTGCGTATTTATTTGCTTTGTCCTACGTAAGCAACCTTCCCACGTCAATCCTACGCAAGGCTTTATAAATGAGTCCCCAGGTGAGGAGAACATGTTGTTATGGCATATAAAGATAAAACACTTGGAAATGGGAATGTAAATTGATGGTCTGTGATTGGGAAGTGAATTCTGACCGCTGCACATGAGTTAAACTTATTACACAGCAAAGCACACACTAAAAGTTCCTCCTCACTACTTAAATGCCACGCAACTTCCTGCGTTGGCATCCATATATAATATACCAGTATACTTTAGGGAAAAACCAAAAGAGGACACATATGCATTCGCACATGTTTAAAATATCTCCTTACCTCATACTACCATCTACTCCCAAATACTGCCTATAAAATCTCAATCTCAATCCCCAATCTCAAATGAGTGGAAGGGAAAGAAAGCCACATATTTGCACAGCTCATCCTCCTTAATTAAACATGGCCAATTTCTGTTTGCACATCTAAATCAGAACTTCATGAAAAACTGGTGGGAATATAATCAGGTCAGAGGAGTGCTGGCGCGTCCTTAATGAATGTGTGCCCTTTTTGTGCCTGAAACATGTTGAGAGATAATACTGAGGGCGGGAGGCGTAGTGGATGCAGGCAGGGGTTGGTCAAGCATGGCGGGGCGGGTGGAATCGCAATCGCTTTGGACAATGAGGGGGGTCATGGAAAAATCCATAACCAGCTTTCTTTTCTTTGTTTATCTCCCTCCTCCTTCAAAGTGGAGAATTCATGGTGTGTGTGCCTTAAATGGATAAAGCGCTTTCATATTGTGAAGAGAGAGGGGGACAAAGTGGGGAGCTATATCAGTAATAAAACAACACAGTAAGTGAAGAGATGTTTAAAGAGGGGAGAGAATATGGGGACTCGCAGTGTGGGCTCTTTGTACTAGAAGCCCATCAGCAGCTGCTCTTCTTCTTGGCCAGCTGCTGTCAGCATGCAAGGCCTCATGGGAACTGCCTGTGTCCTGTCAGTATTACTGGACCTGTCAGCTGCTGCAGCAAACACACAAACAATAACCTTGCCTGCTTAGATATGCATACACGCATGCATAGCAACCTGCACAAAGAAGCGTGCGGAGGCCTTAACACACACAGCCTTGGTGTCATGATCACACATTTCAGAGGAAGGCGGCCTCCTGAGCAACAAATACAAAGGTGCAATGGCTTCATATCGATTGTTCCCGGGGATCAATACCGTGCTACTTTGATATCTCACTCCCACAGAAAGAGAAATGCTTGTGTGTCATAACACACATTCCATCTCTTATTCACCGCCCGTTTCTTACAGCAAATATAAATCATCTAACCAAAAGACAGTTTCACGCATGGATCCATCTGGATGCTTTTTCCAAGTGTGTGTTATCTATGTTCATGCTTTGACATCTTCCTATATGGACACAGTGTGTGCCAGGACTTATCAGTGGAAAAGTTATAACAACGGCCAGAGCCACATTTCCTGCGTTTTCATTCACCGTGTGTGTGTGTGTGTGTGTGCGTGTGTGTGTGTGTGCGTGTGTGTGGTGTGTGCGTGTGTGTGTGTGCGCGTGTGTGTGTGTGCGTGTGTGTGT